GAACCCATTTTTTTTATATGTAAAAAAAAAAAAAAAAATTTCAAAAAAAAAATTTTTATTTTATTTTTTTTTTATAAAAAAATATAGTTCAGATGTTCTAAAATTTATTTTATATTTTTTAGAATAATTGAAATTAAAATTATTGAAGATAAATAAAAATAAAAAAATTTTAAAAAAGGGGGTCAAAACTTTTGCGAAGAACTGTAATAGTTTAGTTATAGAATTTATAAATAATAATAATTAGTAATTTTTAGTTTTAATAAAGATTAGTTATTTTTTAAAATATAATTTTTAAATATTTTTATATATTTATTTTGGTTTTATTATATTTTATTTTATCTTTATTTTGTGTTTTATTATTATTATAATTAATTACATTTAGTTTATAATACATTTTGTTTTGTAATTAATTCATTATATTAGAATTCTTAAATATAACAGTTATATTACATACATATCACAGCTTGCTCGATTAGCTCAGTCGGCAGAGCGTGGTGCTAATAACGCCACGGTCGCAGGTTCGATCCCTGCATCGAGCAATATTTTTTGTTTTGGCCTTAACCCCAATATCTTCCCAGTGATTTCATAAAGGAAAGAACCAAATACTCTATTGATAAGCTTAATCGTTTTTCCTTAGATTAGATTTAATAAAAAATTTGTTTATTTTTTTATTGATAATTGTTTTAAATATCTACCTTTAATTAATATATAAAATAAAAAAAATAAAAAAAATTATAAAATTATAAAAAAAAAAAAAAAAAAAATTAATATTAATAATAATAATAGACTATAGAATCAAAACATTCAAGATAATAGTAACGATATTATCACATCAATAATTAGCATTAACATATTACAAAAATAGAATCAATAGTAAAAAGGTTTCAGATGTTTACCATTTCCACAGATTATTACTGTGTCATAATTTAATTAAAAATATTCAACTCCATCAGACCAATCGAAAATATTTTCAGTATTAGGAAACATCATAAAATTTTTAAATAAAAAAATTTAATAAAATTTTATTTTTTATAAATAATATGTTTATTTTTTACCATTTTCCTTTTTATTGAATATAGTTCTTCATGTTATTTTTTTACAATTGTTAAACGAGTATTGAATAAAATTGGTAATGATTCGCTAAATTGTGTTTTTGAATAAATTTTTTTTTTTTTACTAGATATATTTTGTTTTGGTAATGTGTTTTTATAAGGATATAAAAAAAAAAAATATTTTAAATTTGTGTACTATTACTTTTTATTTAAAATTTTTTTGTTGATTCATTATAAAAATCTGTTTGATATTTTACTAATTTACTGAATCTTGAATTTGGATTTTTTAATAAATTTTCTGGTGAATCAAATTCTGCTAGCTGACCTTTATCAACCACTATAATACGATCTGAATCGTAAATGGTATCAATACGATGTGCTATTGTAAGTATAGTGCAATCTTTGAAATTTTCTCTAATAGTTTTCTTGATAACGGCATCACTTTCGTAATCAAGAGAAGCGGTACATTCGTCACAGAAAAGAATTTTGGAGTTTTTAAGGATAGCTCTACTTAAACAAAGTAATTGTTTTTGGCCTACACTTAAGCCATCCCCACCCTCTTGAACCTTTGAATCCAATTTTAATGGCATTGCTTGAATTTGATCCTTTAGTCTAACCTTTTCTAATGCATCCCAAATTTCGATATCTGAATATTCTCCGAATGGGTCTATGTTTAATCTTAATGAGCCTGAAAAGATAAAAGGATCTTGTGGAATAATACCAATTGAACTACGAAGATTATATAAACCAATCTTTGAAATATCCACACCGTCAATAAAAATAGAACCTTTTGAGCTTTCTACCATCCTAAATAAACCCTGTGAAATTGTACTTTTACCTGCACCTGTTCTACCCACGATACCAATTTTTTCATTTTTATTTATCTTGCAAGTGAAATTTCTTAAAGATGGTTCAGCGGTTGGTCTGTATTTAATTTCGACATCTTTAAATTCGATTTCCCCATTAGTTGGCCACTTTCGATCCATTTTAATATCTCCTTGCTCATCATTATCTTTTTCTTCAGTAAATCTAATACCTTCTGCTGGAGTTGAAACATATGATAAAACTCTTTCCACTGAATTCATTTTAACTTCTAATTCTGTGTATTGACGAATAGTCCAATTTAAATAAGATGTCATACTTAACGATGTGGTGACTGCTAATGCCGATAAACCAGGATTATTACTGAAGATGGTAAAAACTGATGCGAAAAGAACTACGAGTGATGAAATAAGCTCTAACCTAATACCAATCCATCTATGTACAGAGAATGAATAAAAAAATAAACGTAAATTGACATTGATATTATTTTGAACCAATTTTAAGAATCTAATTTGTTGTTGATAGGATCTAATTGTAATTAAACCATTATAGGTTTCTTGGAATAAAGAGAATACTGGACTACGAGATATTGATTCCATACGTTTTAGCTCACGGGATGAAGCTCTATATACTTTTTGAATGAAATAATAAATACCAACCAAGAATGCAAATGGAATACTAATTGCTGGTGTAATGAAAATCATCATACCAATAGCAATGACTACAGTTGATCCACAATAAAGTACATCGGAAATACACTCTAATAATGTTAGGTCAATATCGCTAATATCTTTACTGAATCTATTTAAAATTCTTCCTGATGGATTTGTATCAAAGAACTGACATGAAGCAAAGGAAACTGAATATAAAAGATTGTCATGAAGTTTTCTAGCTGATGCAAATGATATACGGGCCAAAAAGAAGTATCTAAAAGTTAAAGCAAAAATAAAGGCGACGATAAAACCCATGTAAACGAGAATATAAAACTTATCTTCTGGATCCTCTGGTGTTTTTTGGGTCCAAACTTGAAGCCAAAAATCGGATACTTGAAAAATAACTTGACTAACTATATAAATGATGCAAGTAAGTGTAAAGAAAGGTAAACTTGAACCACTATTAACATAGCTTTTATAAATATCAAAACCAACTGCACCGGAATTTCTATCTTCTTTAACTAAAAGCTTGGCTTTTTCCATTAAATTTGGATCTTCATCTTTGCTAATAATATCGTCAATATTTAAAACTGGTGTTGTTGTATTCTGTGTTACTGCTGATGGTTTTGCTGAATTTTTTTTATTTTCTTCCTCTTCGCTTTCTAATTTTTTAGTTTTCATAATTGATTCAAAATCAATACCCTTTTGTTTTAATTCTTGATAGGTGCCTTGTGTTATTTTACCATTTTCTACGACTACAATATGATCGGCAGAAGGAATGAATTGAAGTTGATGGGTTACTAGAATACGAGTTTTATTTCTCATTAAACCTTGAATACAGTGATCGAATAAATGTTTACCAACCTCTGGATCGACAGCACTTAACGGTTCGTCCATAATAAAGCAATCTGCATTTGTATAAAGAGCACGTGCTAATGAAATACGTTGTTTTTGACCACCTGATAAATTTATACCACGTTCACCTATTTCAGTTAAATCCTTTGCTGATAATTGTAAAAGATCTGGTGTTAAAGAGCATGCTTCAATAACTTTTTTATAGTATTCTAAATCAAATGGTTTTCCAAATAAAATATTTTCACGCAATGATGCACTAATTAAAAAAGATTGCTGGGTTGTGAACGAAATTGTTGGTGGCATTTGAACTGAACCACTAACACGATAAATTTCACCAATTAAAGCGCTGACTAAACTTGTTTTACCACTTCCTACTCTTCCACAAATGATTGTTAATTTACCAGCTGGAGCTATAAAATCGATATTATTTAAAACATAATTTTCAAAATTCTCTTTGACATCTGCTGACTCGTTTGAGCCTTCTCCATCATGCTCGACCATGATTAACTCTTTAAGATCGCTATCTTCTTCGATATTTGATGATTCTATTATGCCTAAATTTGTATTACCGCTATATAAATTTACTAGATCATTTGATGAGCCTTTAGAATGACCCTTTAAATAATGTTCATTCCAATCAAATGTTGCATTTGTAATTTTAATATCCATTTGTGATGGTGAAAGTGAATAAATTGGTGATGTTGAGCCGCTATTATTTTCATCCGAACCTCCAACATTATAACTATAACTTGTATTAACAATGGGACTTGATCCACCATCCATTAAAAATGAATCTTGAATTTCTGGTGATTGTAAAAACTCTTCAATTCTTTTTGATGATGGTAGCAAACCAAATAATCTAAACAATGCCTGTGGTAACATTTCACTTGGTCTTCTTAGATTTACGAAAACAACCATAGATGTGAATGCAATATCTAATGTAAGTTGGTGACCTAATAAACTATATGTTGCAAAGCTATAAGTTTTTTTAAAAGAAAAAAAGAAATAAATTAGAATATTTTGTTTATTATATTTAATAAATATTAAATATATATACATACGTGCTAATTAAAACCAATGCAGAAGAAATTTGAACAATCATTTGACTAACAATATAATAAATAATACGAGTATATAAGTGGTCTAATTGTTTTGTTCTTTCGCTATCAATACGATCTAAAAATAATTTTTCCCAGGCATAAAGCTTTAAAAATCTAATACCATTGATTAACTCTGATGTTAAGTCAGTTCTGGTATCAGCATGGCCCAAAGATAAACGTAAATATTTGCTTGCTTGAGTACTAAGTGCAGTTGTAAGTGGAACTGAGATCACCATTACTAAAAATCCAACCAAGCCACTAAACCCAATGATGATACAAAGCAGTATTAACAATGCTAAAATTTGAAATGGAAAAATGAAAATTTCTGTATGATTGTTCCAAAAGAAATCTTGAAAAGCCCCAACATCGACTGAAACCAAATTCATAATATTACCAGAATTAAACTCTCTTCTTGCACTATTGGATAATCTTAACATCTTTTCATAGATTGCACTGATTAATGCTCCCCTAATCTGTAGAGATGACTTCATACCAAACCAATATGAATATTGATTACCGATCATCAAAACACTTGTAACCATAAACAATAAAAAACATAAAAATAACCCATATGATACTTCTTTTTGATCTGGTGGTAATTGGATATAACGTAAAAAACTTTCAAAAATTAAAAAATTAGTTTTTTTTATTTTATTGTTTTATTTTTTGTAAAATTATAAAGTATACATACTATTTTAAAACCATTGGTGTGATAACTGATAAAATTGCACCTGATAATTTATAAGCAATTAACTTTTTATTTCTTGGTATAAATTCTTTATATATGTGTTTTATTAATGGGTATTTGCCATCATTATAATCGATATTTGCCAAGTATGGACTATTATGTTCTACTTTAATCTCCTCTGGAATATCTGATATATCTGTCATTTGAAGAGCTCTTCTGTACCCCTTAAATAACATTGGCTGTGCCCAATTAAATGTTAATTTTTGCCATACACTTGCGTTATCCTCTGGACATGGCTCATTAAATAAATCAGTATCTTCTGTTTCTGATAACAATGAATATGAAAATTTGCTTTTAATATTATTACAACAACTCCTTATCATTATTTATTTACTCTTTATTTGATCTATATTTATTATTTAGTTTTATATTAATTAAACATAAAATATTATATCTAATTTGGTTATATTTGTATTATTATAAATGTAATAAAATAAAATTTTTATTTTAAATTTAGCAAAATAATAAAAAATAACAAAAAATAATAAAAAAAAAAATTTGGTGTGGGTGTGGGTGAAACAGTATATGTTTTTTTTGAATGAATTATGACACACAGGCTACAAAACCAAAATAAATTTTTTTTATAAATTTTTTAAAAAATTTAAAAATTTTTTTTTTTTTTTTTTTCTGATTGTTAAATCGGATATAATTGTATTAGTTTATAATTTATTATAAAAATTCCCAAAATGATCTATTTATAGAGAATTTAAGAACATGAAATACAAAAAAATAATTATTATTATTATTATATAATTATAATAAATAATTTTATTTTTACTTTTTTGATTAAATGCATAAATTAAAAAAAAAAAGCAAACGTATTTCTATTTAAAAGAAAAATATAAAAATGATTATGAAATTTTTCTCATAATCATATTTGTCTTTCGTTCCAATACAAAAAAAAATTAAAAAATTAAAAAAAAATAAAATTAAAAAAAAAAAAAAATTAAAAATAAAATAAATTTAATCAAAAATGTCAAAAAACAATTCCTTCTCCAAAGAATTACGAAATATTCCTTTTATAAAAAATTCATTAAATAAATTCAATTCAAAAAAATTTTACAAACAACAATCTTATAAACAAGATTGATTGTTTAAACTATATTTATAGTTTTTTTTTCGTTGTGGTTTTGTTTTCCATTTTTTTATTTTTTATTTTTTATTTTTTTTTATACAATTTAGAATTTAAATAAAAAAATAAAAAAATAAAAAAAGAAATAAGAAATAATATAAATTATAAAAACACAATAAATTAATAATTATTATTATTATTTAAATTTCTATTGATAGTAAACAAATAAAAATAAAAACTCACAATATTTTATCTAATGGATCAAAAAATAAAAATTAAAAAAAAATATAAAATTAACCCCTTTATTTTTTTTAAACCCAATTTTTTTAAACAACATTAATGTAATCTATAATGGCAAAATTATAATGTTTTTTTGATCATCATTATATACTTGTTTTTTTAAATAATGGACAATGAAATTGTAGATACTATGGTGAAAGTTTTATAACAATTCATTCAGATACAATATTTTATCTAAATATATTTAAAACACACACTCACACACCATTATTATTTTTAAAAGATAATTTTTTCAAATGTATTAAATAAAAATTATAGCAACTTTATAAATTATACAAATTTTAACCATCACCATATTTTTTTTATAATTTAAAAAAGCAAAACCCTTTTATTTTTTTTTTATTTTTTATTTTACCTTTCAGAATTCTTTATATTTTTTTATTTTTTATTTTTTTATTTATTAATTTATTTATTTATTTATAAAAAAAAAAAAAATAATAAAATTAAAAAAATACAAACAAAAAAAAAAAAGCATTTTATAAATTTATTTAATTATGGAAAATAAATTATAAAAAAATTTATATAAAACTATAGAATAATTAATAATAATGAACTATAACAATAATAATAATAACAACAACAATAGCGGTGATATTCAATATACGATCATTTCACAGGATGATTTAGAAAGAGAAAGATTATCATTATTAAATAATAATGGTAATGGGAGTAGTAAATGCTCCTCATATGGCAGTGATAGTGGTTCGAATGGTAATTGTTGTTGCTCTAGTGATTCTAGCTGTAGTAGTGATGGCCAAACAATAAGAACAATTAAATCAATTTTTTATAATAACTTATTTTGTAAAATATGTTTGGTTTTAGTTTGTGTGGTATATATTAATTTATATTTTAATTTGTTTAAATTATATTATATTAATGTTTTTATTTAAATTTTAGATTGCAATTTATACCTTAATAGCAATAAGATGCAATGGTGTTGGGTTTGATGGTTGCCGAGAACAATAGATTTACATAAAATAAAAAATATATAAATAAAATAATTTTAAATTGATATACAAGAATTTTGTTTTTCAATTTAAAAAATATAGTTTAGAAAATTTACCTTTTTTGTGTTTATTTTATTTTTTTATTTATAATACCAAAACATAGTTTGATATATATTAACATTTAAAATTTTTATTTTGGCTTTCTTAATCCTGTAAGCTAACTTTATTGAATCACTGCATTTTAGAAAAAAAAGAATGAACATGGGAATATTTTTTATTTACAAAAAAAGTATATTTTTTATTTTATTTAATTTAAGACATAATAACTAAACCGAAAACAAATAATGAAACAATACCGAGGGTTGGAAGAATTGAATTTGAGTCTGATGAATGATTATCAGAACTACTTTCAGTAGAATTTGAATTTGAAGATTGGGTTTCAACACCTCCTGGATTTAATCCTGGTGATGAGGATGAACCACTGTTTGATGGTAAATTTGATGATGTGGCAGATGGTGGTGGAGGAGTGGTAGAACCATCTGGAGAGGAACTACTAGAGCCATCTGGGTCTACACCACCTCCTGGAATTGGTAAATTAGTTGAACCAACATATAACAATTGAGCACGAGTTACTGGTGTTGTATCAGATTTTATATTAAAAGCAATATAAAATTGTTCTGAGGCATAGTTTGATTTCTCTGGGTTTGTGGTTAAACCTTGGAGGATTGGAGGAAGTAAATTAAAAGCTGGTGAAGAGATTGATAATGATTGGGTACCTTGACCAATAAAAACAGTATCTGAAACAGTTGGGTTAGAATATGAAAGAGCAACTTTCAATTGACCATCTTCTTTCTTTGGTGCTGATGGGCCAGCTATTCTGGATGAAAAATAATCATTTCCATTGAACTTATTCAATGTAACATTATATTGAAATCTATAAGAACCTTGGGATCTTGTAATTAAAAGATCTACTGTGCCCTCAATGTTATTACTTTTAGATACAGCCAATGCACTTGTGCCGAAATTACCTTTAAAATAATATTTTTCATCTATATTATATAAATTTTAAATGTTAATATCTAATATCTATTATTATAACTATACAATATTTAAATATTACCTTGTGAATAAACTCTTGTTATAAAAACATTTATTATTAAAATAAATAAAATTGAAAATATTTTTTTATTTACTCTCATTTTATTATTAATTATTTTATATTAGTTTTTATTTTAAATTTTTGATAAATATGATTTTTTTTTTTTTTTTTGAATAAATTAAATAAATAGATAAATAAACAAAATATTGAATTAAAAGAATTGAAAAAAAAAAATGCAAATTTTAATTTATAGAAAAAGAATTTGAATAGAAAAAAGATTTGAAAAAAAATAAATTAAATATTAAAAAAAATAAATAAAAAAAATCTTAATTATTATTGACGTTATTAAATCCATATTAAATGACATAATTATCATAAATGAATAAAAAAGGTCCTTTAATCTATCAAAAACAAAAAAAATCCTCTTTTTAACGAACTTTTCTATAAAAAGTAGTTAAATATTTTTTTTAAATTAAATATTATTTTTTATTTTCTTTGAATATTAAAAAAAAAAATTAATTAAAACTATCGAATTTCTAACTTATCTAAAATTTTTTTTATTTTTTTTATTTTTTATATTTTTTTTATTATTTTAATTAATTATTTTAAAAAACTATTATTAAGAAAAACTAAAGTGTAACCTCTTTTTATAATTTTTTTTCTACAATATGAATAAACAAAATAAATAAAGTTTTGAGATATGATTATAAAATCAATTTTATTTTGTTTTTTTATTGTTTTTTATTTATTAACAAAATTTCTAGGGTTTTTATAGTAATACTAAACAAAAAAATAAAGAAGCCATTATTATTTAAAGAGGCATTTAAAATAAAAACAATTTTTATGATTTATTGTGACAAATAAAAATTAAGCTTATCTTATTTCTTTTAAAACCAATGCAT